TGTTTGCAGCTTTTCTCTGTGTCTTTTTCTCACAGTGTTTCTAAGCTGCTTCCCCAAGTTAGCTCCAGCACTTGTGAGAAACAAAGTGCTCTCCCTCAGCCTGCGTTGCTTGGATCCCAGGTGGAAAGGTGAGTCATAGAGGGAGGCTCTCTGCCTCTCCCATGTACTGGGGCTTCACTCATTTTTATCAGCTGCATGCCATCACTGGGGCTGTTTGTCCACATTCTCCTCCCTGGCATCTGGGGTGTCCTTCACAATTCTAGTGGATTCCCATTTTCCTTTTTCAATAAAAACCCACAGAGATGATGTTTACACACTATCTTGCTATTTCCAAGGGGCCAAGGCACACTAAAAGACTCTAATCTGCCATCTTGGAAATAAAACAGAAACTATTTTTTTTTAAACTCAGTATCCATTTAGAATTATGACCATCTTGTGAGAAATGAAGTTTGAGACTCTACTTTGATATGAAATTTAGTGCTATCATCTTTAATTGTGTTTTCTTTCACAAATGACTACTAGTAGATGTGTTTAAGTCCAGAAACCTTCTGATGAGGGTTAAGATTTGGGGCTTTGAGCATCCTGTTGACTTCCATTACTAGTTTCACTATATTCAATTTGAGTTATGTTAATAGTAAGTTTTATTTTTCTGTTTTTCATTAGCTTTTATGAGTTAAGGACCAAAATGCCACAAAATTTTCAAATGAGCAAATATTACTGTGCAAATTCGGAAAAGATGCCAAAATACAAATGTTGGCTGGCAGGTCATGTTGCCAGCAATAGCATGAAGTATTTTGTTCCTTAGTTTAAGAAGTTACGAAGAAAGCACCCCTAAGGTGTTATGAGATGATGAAAAATACAGAAAACCCAAATATATAAAAATCAAAGTATTGTTTCACAAAATTGATTGTCTTGCCTTCTCAGCAAAATCACTTCAGTTATTCAAAAGCAAGATTTTCACATCACATTCAAACATTATCATAGGCCAGAAAATGCTATGGAGTATTTTAATTTCATATAATTCACTACCACTTCTATGGCTGTTTTTACCGCCTCTGAAACAATCTCTAGATCTATCCAGTAATATGAAGAGTTGGTATCACGCTTCGTGTTCCATCTAGATCTACATATATATAAATTTAAGGGTAGTCAGGATTCATATTGCACAATGTTCTTCAGCCACCATATGTAGCTCTTGCAAATACCATTCCTGTATACGAATACCTGTGGAATTACAAATTAAGGCATTAAAAGAAGTAAAAAATGGGTGCTCAGCACCACTGGAGAATATATTTCATTATGCACAAACCTTGCATTCATGCTGAGAGGTTTTGACAAGTTACCTTTCCTCTTACCTTACTGCTGCTGCCCCAGTCTTTCCTGCACTCCAAAGCAGTGTCTGTGTCTGATCTCAGCAGCAGCATGACCCACAAACCTTTATAGCATTTGGGCACAGTCCTCTTTTGTTTTGAAGATAAAGGGTAAAAGATGTGGTAAAGCATTCCCTGAGACCTGAATGTGGTTAATGATGAGAGTGAGTCTTTAGGGTTATGGTTCCTGCTGTTTCAGAGCTGAGCTCCAGATCAAGGGCCCACGTGTTTTGCTTTTTTTTGTTGTTGTGGTTGTTTTCTTCTTCTTCATCTTCTGAGATAGAGCCTCGCTCTGTCATCGAGGCTTGAATGCAGTGGCATGATCTTGGCTCACTGCAACCTCTGCCTCCTGAGTCCGAGCAATTCTCCCACCTGAACCTCCCGAGTAGCTGGCACTACAGGTGCGCACCACCACACCCAGCTAATATTTGTATTTTCAGTAGAGACGGGGTTTCACCATGTTGGCCAGGTTGTTCTTAAACTCCTGACCTCAGTTGATCCACCCACCTTGGCCTCTTACAGTGCTGGAATTACAGATGTGAGCCACTGCACCCAGCCCGGGCCCATGTGTTCTTGAACAAGTGTAGGTTTCTGTGTGTGCCTGTCCTATGCAGAGTCCTCTGAAGCCCAGGGCTCAGAACAGTGGCCCCTCTTTCTAGGTGCAAGGGTAGCACTGCAGGCTTTCACAGGATTCCTGTGGCTACCTGGTTGGGGCTGTTCAGGATGAACCATAGGAGTTAGCCTAACACCACTCTAAAGTCAGATGTTGAAAGACAAGGATCAAAGAGAGTTGAGCAAGTGAGCAAGTTGGAGATAATTACAAGCTTCTTAAGAGAACACTGTCTTTTCCACACTGGGAGTATTCTCATAGAGCCACACATAGCACTCCACAGATGGAAAACCTCCGAATGCTCCCAGCTGACCATATTTGCCACTTCATGAACACTGCAACATAACACAAGAGGATGTGTATTTCCCCAAGCCCTGTGCAGACCAATTTTGATAATGTTAACTGTCTGAATTAAGTTGCAGTTTCTCTCATTCATTTATTCAACTTATACTTTGTTTTACTATTGGTATTCTGGCCTCCTCCACCTCTTTTCCAAATAGTAAGACACTTTGCTTTAGGGGAAGATACTGAGGATGCCAGTGCTTTGCCAATTTCATCAAAGAGAAGAGCACTTAACACTTAACCCCTAAACGCCTTCATTTCCTTCTGCTCTGCTGTTTTGTACTTGGCAAAGCTTTACTCATGTCCAAAAAGATGAAAGGGGAGTGGGGAGACCCAAAGCAGTAGTAATTAGTGCTGAGCCTTCACCAAGTTGAGTGGCTGGGGTTTTCCTTCAGCACTTGCTTCCTTTGTATCTCTGTTTCTAGCCACGCTTCAGTCAAGACCCAAATCCTGCTGCTTTTTTTTAAATCATAAGAAAGGATTTAAATATAAAATTTTATACACTAAACACACTCAAAGTAAATATTCAATCTCTGGATGGAGACAGATTGTCTAGATGACTAATAGAGTCTATCAACTGTTCTCTAAGTTCTTTCCCTCCTTTTAATCTTTGAAAGTCTCTCTTCATCTAGCCTGTTCCTGGTGCTCAGAGTTGAAGCAGCCGTAGTGCAACCAAGAGGCTTCCCTCCATCAACACACTGAAGCTGCCATAACAGAGAGATGGAAAGAGCCCAGTTCTCCAAGGACATTGCTGAATCTTTGCACCAACTCTGGTAGCACTACTTCCAGACTGTATTTCATGAGGTTAATAAACCTCTTTGATGTAAGTCACTTGCAATCAAGGCAACAGGTCTATGCATTTTAACTACACATGGCCCACACTTTGAAAAATCCTGTCATAAATACTGGTGTCCTCGGAGCTCTGTTCTAGACCCTCTTCTCTCCTTATGCAATACTCTATATATGTGATCTCACTCACTCCCTTGGCTTGGAATATTATCCACTCTGAAGACCCCTAAATCTTGCTTCTAGGCCAGAATCTTCTGAACTTCTAAAATATATAAGAAACTTTAACAGACGTCACCACTTGTCTATTAGTCTCCCTGCACTTTAACATATCCAAAACTGAACTCATAATCTGCTCCCCAGAACCCGTTTATCCCCCAGACTTTCCTGTCTCAATAAATGGCACCACGCTCAACTCAGTTGCTCGAGCTAGAGAGCCAGGAATCATCGTCACCTTCTCCTTTTCCCTCACCCCAGCATCCAGTCAATCACCAAGCCCTATCATGTCTTCTCTCCATCCCCACTGCTGCTCCTCGGTCAGGGCCATCATTAGGTCCCATGAGGACCACTGCCACAGACTTACCTGGTTTCCTGGGCCCTTCCAATTGCTTCCCTATATTGCAGTCAGAATGATCTTCCTGATATGTAGATCTAGTCAGATCTCTTCTCTGTTTAACACTGCTACCTGACTCACTGGACTAGAAGATAACTCCTGCTATGAACTCCCACTGCTTCTGGCGAGTCCCTTAGTATGAGTCATTGTGGCTGCATGGTGGCTTACACCTGTAATCCCAGCACTTTGGGAGGCTGAAGCAGGAGGATCGCTTGAGCTCAGGAGTACAAGACCAGCCTGGGTGACATAGCAAGGCCTCATGTATACTAAAAGTCAAAAAAATTAGCTGGGAATGGTGCTGCACACCTGTAGTCCCATCTGCTCGGGAGTCTGAGGCAGAAGGATCGCTTGAGTCCAGGAGGCCGAGGCTGCAGTGAGCTATGATCATGCTACTGCACTGCAGCCTGGGTAACAGAGTGAGACACTGTCTCAAAGGAAAAAAAACTAATTATGCTTTTATTGAGCTTTTTTATTGTCTGTTTTCTCATTGATCTCTAAATTGTATTGAGTATAGGAACTGAAGTATAGCCCCACACTTAGCAACAGTGCCTGGCACATGGTAGACAACAAATGTGACATTGAGTGAATAGATTAATTTAGAAGAACATTTTGTAAGCTGGGGGTTGTGACCCACCAGGACCATGAATTCAGTCTAGTGGATTATAATCAGCTTTAATTTAAAGAAGAAAAAGAAATAGATGAGAATAGCAAATAATAAGAGTATTATTTCATGAAATTTTTTATTACGAAATTTGTAAAATATATTTCTTATAGTGAGTGGCAGTAAAACTAAAATGAAAGCCACTGGGTTATAATAAGCAAGTACTTTTTTCTATAGTAAGAAAAAGCAGCTTTATTTAAAAAAAAAAAAAAATCTGAAAACCTTGTGACTGAAAAATCCCCCTGCCTTGGGGGATTTTTACTTTCACAGATTTCAAAGCCTTAAACTCAAGGGAAAAATGTGTCTAGAGTTTTAGGTTTCTGTGAGTAGATGACAGAGGAATTAAAAATCCATCACAGATCCTGCCTGGTAACTATTGCCACAGACCAATGAAACCTAAAAGTGCTGTTGAATTCTATTTCCTCTGAAGATATATCTTAAGCATTTTTGTCCCATGGCTGATGACGAAAGTGGAAATCCAGTGTTAAAAGTATGAACTCTTTGCTGTTGAGGGTGGTCACTGATTTAGGTATTGGAGAATTTAATTGGCTGTTTCTCCCAACCTTCTCTCCTGAAGAAAAGAGCCCTGAGCCAATGAGGAGCTATTGTTCTGTGTCCATAGCAACAATATAAACAAACTTTGGCCTGCCATCTCCCAAGGGCAAACCTCACAACTCAGGCCCAAGTCACTGGAATCTGAATGGAGGGGTGACCTCCTCCTCTAGTTTAATTTCATTGCAATACTGAGAAACGTGAACTGTTTTGTCTTTAGAAGGGAAATTTATGTTTGTGCCAGGCCAGCCTTTGTAAAAGCCTTTGATTGGATTCACTGGAAGTCTGTCTTCCCACACTACATATACTGTGAATTTTCTGCTTCGGCATTTCAACCACTTGGAATGGCCACTAAAGTCTTGAGTTCTGGAACCTCTGGATTTGATCTAAAGTAAACTCTGATTCTGTGTTGATGGGGAACCATTTCTCTCTAACATTGTGATTTCTTTAAGATGCTTGACTCAGGCCACATGAGAATAACAGATCTTTGGGCAGTCCAAGGTAAGCTCTTTGGAAAAGATGTTTTATATTATTTTTTCTACTGATTATTAATACTAACCAGTAACTTCTCTGAAGCCTCTGCCGGCTCACTGGTGACTATTGTTAGGGCGAGCCTCAGGTAAAATCATCAGGGAGAAGTGCAAGAAAGGAAAAAAAGAGGGAGAAAGAATCCTTACACACACTCACACATCCCTCGATGATTAGAGCTATTCGATGTCAAGCCACTGTAAACGCAGATCTATCCGTGATGACGTGGAAATATCTACTAGATATCTTGTTACATAAAAAGAACAAGATGCAACATCATGTGCAAAGTATGCTCTCATTTAGGCAAATCATTTTTTAAAAATCTATTATGCTTCTCTACAGGTTAAGTTCTATATGCAAGACTTGTAAGATTATATGCATTTCTGGAAGGATGCCCCCAAAATCTGTTAGAAGTGGTTCCCACTTAAGAAGCTATGAGAAGTCAAGGACTGATTTTAGCTACTGAAATATTAAAATACTGCCATATAGGCTGGGAATGGTGGCTCACACCTGTAATCCCAGCACTTTGGGAGGCCGAGGTGGGTGGATCACCTGAAGTCAGGAGTTTGAGACCAGCCTGGCCAATATGGTGAAACCCTATCTTTACAAAAATACAAAAATTAGCCAGGCGTGGTGGCGGGTGCCTGTAATCCCAGCTACTGGGGAAGCTGAGGTAGGAGAATCCCTTGAACCTCGGAGGTAGAGGTTGCAGTGAGCCGAGAACCTGCCATTGCACTCCAGCCTAGGCAACAAGAGCAAAACTCTGTCTCAAAATAATAATAATAATAATAATAAATAAAATACTGCCATATTGATTGGTAGATGACCATTGTCCAAGCCCCTTGCATGTCCTCCTTGCCACCTTGGTTGTCCCAACTCCTCCCTGGCACCCCCAGACCACCTCATGATTGAGCAGCTAAGGACTTAATGCACAGCACGGAGGTGGGAGTGAGATCCCCCAGGACCCTGTTCCAACCCTGGTTGATTATTCAAGAGCCTTGTCGTACTGGTTGTTAAATATTTTGAGTATCACTCCTATGGGTGTTCAAAGAGAAAGGCCTTTATTTTTATTTTATTTATTTATTTTTTTAGAGACAGGGTCTTGTGCTGTCACCCAGGCTGAAACGCAGTGGTGTGATCATAGCTCACTGCAACCTCAAACTCCTGGCCTTAAGTGATCCTCCCACGCCATCTGCCAAGTAGCTGGGACTACAGGCACACTCCACCACACTAAGCTATTTTTAAAATTTTTTGTAGATACAGAGTCTCAATATGTTGCCCAGGCAGGTCTCAAGCTCCTAACCTCAAGCGACTCTCGCACCTCAGTCTCCCAAAGTGTTGGGATTACAGACATGTGCCACCACACCTGTGAGGCCATTTTTTTTTTCTTAAGAGCAAAAGAATAGATACCAAGACATCATTTATCATGGGGAAGAAGAAAAGGAAACAACCACACATTCATCAAAGATCATTGAAAATCTATGTAAAACTCCACTGAGTGATTGTATCACCCATACAATTTACCTCTGCTTTCTGGCTTTTGAATGCAAACGTTTGATATTATTTATAATATGGTAATGATGATTACAACATTTTGGCAGTTTCATCTGTGAATCTCTTTTCTCTTTGTTTTTGTTTTTTGTTCTGTTTATTTATTTACTGAGACAGAGTCTTGTTCTGTCACCCAGGCTGGAGTGCAGTGGCAAGATCTCGGCTCACTGCAACCTCCACCTCATGGGTTCAAGTGATTCTCCTGCCTCAGCCTCCCGAGTAGCTGGGATTACAGGCGTGTGCCACCACACCCGGCTAATTTTTGTGTTTTTAGTAGAGACAGGGTTTCACCATGTTGGCTAGGCTGGTCTTGAACTCCTGGCCTCAAGTGATCCGCTTGCCTTGGCCTCCCAAAGTGCTGGAATTACAGGCATGAGCCACCGCACTGTCTTTTTCCTCTTTGTTGAGCTGGCTCCAACCACCGTGATGAGCTGATTACAACCATCAAGTTTACTAGTCAGGTAAGAAATATGCATCAAATGCCCATTGTGGACAAGCCACTTCGCAAGGCTTAGTGGAGGTATTGAGGCACAAAGAGCTCTCCAGGGTGGAGTCCTGGCCTTCAAGAAGAGAGAAGGCAGTTGCTAGAAGTGGGCCTGCCTTAACCTCTCACTTCCTGCCCCATGGACTCCTGCTAAATCTCCTAAGTTCAGGGTTGGCCCCTTTCCTACAGGAAGCAGATAGAAGGTTCGAAGCAGAAGCAGAGCTTCTTTTTTGCTACTGTGGCAGCCTCCCTTCAGACTCTCACCTGAATTCTAGCCCCTTGTAGCATCATCTTCCTACCTGGGCACTCAATCCCATCTGCTTCTCTGACCTCCTCTCCTTGACTTGGCCCTGACAGGCCCCCAAACACAGTGGAGTGTGGACAGTTATAAATGGCGGCCCTGTCACCTGCTCTTTAGGCCTTCGCTGTTCAGCCAGTCTCCTGGACTCCTTTCTAGCCCTGACATCTATTGCAGAAGATCCCCTAGTCCCAGGCCTCTGACCCAGCCAACCCCTGCACACTCTGCCTTTATTCCAAGGCCAGGTCTGTTGCCTTCACTCCACTGCTCACTTAGCTCTCTTTCTGCCGACTCCTCTACTGACTGCAAGCTCCCTGAGGGCAAAATCCAGCCAGCATCTAGCACAGTACTCACAGCACGAGGCTCTAAAGATTTGTGCTGTTAAAGGAGCAGTTACGAGTGGGTGAGTAGTCACTTCATTTCTTTGAGTTTTAGTATCTTCATATGGAAAACAGATCCAACCTTAAGGTCCTCTCTAGCTCTTAAGGTCATTAGACACCATCAGTGGATTTCTCAAGCATCAGTCATGTTGGAGAAAAAGGTTGATTTCATTTTTTTGACTGGTTCTTAAGCAAATGTATTCCAGTATAATATTGAAAACTAATCATAGACTTAGAAATTTGAGTTAAATCTGTTATCATTTTAATGCTTCTGTTGGGCTATTGATTCTTATAACATTTTTGGCATTTGTTTTTATTACTAATGAAATATCCACTGACATGGCCAGGCACAGTGGCTCATGCCTGTAATCCCAGCACTTGGGAGGCCAAGGCAGGAGGATCACTTGAGGCCAGGAGTTCGAGATCAGCCTGGCCAACATGGCAAAACCCAGTCTCTACTAAAAATACAAAAATTGGCCAGGCATACTGGTGGGCACTTGTAGGAGGCTGGAGGCCTCCACCTACAGGAGGTTGAGGCAGGAGAATCACTTGAACCCAGGAAGCAGAGGTTGTAGTGAGCCAAGATTGCAGCACTGCACTCCAGCCTGGGTGACAGAGCGAGACTCTGAAAAGAAAAAAGAAAAGAAGAAAAGAAAAGAGAAAAGAAATATCCACTGACATCTTTTAAAAATCAAATAATGTTAAAAATTCATTAAGGAAAAGTCTCAATTTCTGCCCCACCCCCAACCTTTCAGTTCTACTTCTCAATGTGCTCCTAGAGGCAATTATTTTCAACTCTGTTATCTATTTCTTTGGAATTTTACCTCATACTTGCAAATAATTTGTCTGTGCTCCATATGTTAATTTTCCTTTCTGGTACATCAGATGAGGATTTGGCTCTTACACATCCCCATTCCGCTCATTCTTCCCGTGTAGTCACAATTCACTTTTTGGCTAAGTCAATGTTAAGTATTTACATTTGATACATATGAGTGTGTGCCATACTATGATTATGTTTACTTTGTTGTTCAATATTTTTTAGCTTGGAGTAATTGCACATTTTATTTTCTTAGGTTTCTATGTTTGTATTGCCAATCCCGCACCTACACTCCCAAATGCTCTGGTTCTGATTGCTCTGTAACGAAGTTACCGCAAATTTAGTGGCTTCAAACAACACCAATTTATTATCTTACAGTTCTGAAAGTCAAAGCCCAAAATGAGTCTCAATGAGCTAAAATCAAGAGGTCAGCAGAGCTGCATTCCTTCCGGAGGCTCCAGGGAGGAATTTTGTTCCTTGCCTTTTCCAGCATCTAGACGCTGCCCCAATTACTTGGCTCCCAGACCTTTTCCTCAATCACTCCTACCTCTTCCTCCATTATCACATCTTCTCTGACTGATAATTCAGGTTAATCTCTGTATCTCAAGATCTTTCATTTAACCACAGCTGCTTTTGCCATGTAAGGTAACATAGTCACACTTTCCAGAGATTAGGACATGCGGTGTAGGGAAAGGGACAGTATTCATCCTACCATGTGCTCCTACAGATCTACCAGCTGCCTGTCAATATCGTCAGGTAATCTACCAGTTCCAAGTCCTGCACCCTCTGGGACCTCTGATGAGTGAATTGGCTCCATCTTGTTCATACTCTGTCTTTGCAGGCACATAGGCTGTAGCGAGCTATGGTGAGAGCCCTAGTTATGATGCCAAACATGTAGGGACATCCCTTGTGCAATCTTCTCTACTCTCCCATTTTCTTGCTCTTACGGAATTAAATCTCTTTTAATGCTGTACTCTAATTTTAGTTGGACTCTGGAAAAGAAAGATAAGCCAGTATGGTCAAGCCACCATGTTTATCTGATAGTTGTCTTTCATCAAGACTCTCATAATAGGAGTTTTGTTTTCATGGAGCCAGGGAAGGAGTTTCCACTCTGTAATTCAAAGAGGTGACCAGGAATGAGAAACGAGGAGATTCAGTTGCATTGTGGCTCAGGCAGCAGAACTGATTTTCCAGGAAGTTCTGTGCCGAACTTGCTGTGGGAATTTCTCTTCCCTTCAGTGAGAACTGGCGTGGCCTGCTGGAAAGGAAGGAGCTTGGGAGTCAAGGAGATTTGTGTTTGTTTCCAGCTCTGCAACTTCCTGCCACTGTGACTTCTCTGAGTCTCAGTAGCCTCATCTGTAGTATCAGCATAACAATAATTGAGCGGTTTTACCTGGCTCACAGCAAGGACTCAGTTATGGCAAATTTTATTTTATTTTATTTTATTTTATTTTATTTTATTTTATTTTATTTTATTTTTGTTTTATTTTATTTTTATCTTATTTTTTGCGAGGAAGTCTTACTCTCCACCCGGGCTGGAGTGCAGTGGCACAGTCTTGGCTCACTGCAACCTCTGCCTCCCAGGTTCAAGCAATCCTCCCACCTCAGCCTCCTTAGTAGCTGGGATTACAGGTGTGTACCACCATGCCCAGCTAATTTTTGTATTATTAGTAGAGACGGGGTTTCACCATGTTGGCCAGGCTGGTCTCAAACTCCTGACCTCAAGTGATCCATCCACCTCGGCCCCCCAAAGTGCTGGGATTACAGGCATGAGCCACCGTGCCTGGCCAGTTATGGCAAAGTTTAAATTGCTTTCAAGTCAAGTCTACTGAGTAGAAAGGGATGAGCTGTTAACCTATAGCCAAGACCCTGCACCAGATCAACAGCTTCTGGAGTCTACCATTGTTCTTTGGGTCCTCCCTGGGTTCTTCCCAATTTGTCTGTATTTTTGCTTTGATTCTAAATGGTTTAACTTTCTGCTGTTGTTTTTCGATTTCAGCAAGAGCCTCCTGATCTAGCAGCCAAGACTGCCGCTGACCTTTGGCCATGTACCCCAACCCTCTCATCTATTGCACCTGCTGGGACCCCTGGAACTTGGGACCACGGAAGCTAATCAAGACCCCTCAACTACCACACAAGAACTCCACAGGGAGGTCCAAGTAAGAATTATCTGGGATGGGGTAGGCACAGGGACCTTGGGATCCATTTGTAGCCTCATTTCTTTCACAAGATTTCTAAAACAGCAAGTGTGGCAGCAAAATCCCAGGTGGGCCAGAAAGCCTTGCTTTCTCCAGCTTCCCTGCCAGCTGGTTGGCTGCACCCCCATCTTGCCAGCCCTGCCTGGGGTTTGTGCCATTTTAAATGAGGAAGTCTCAGTGTTGGTGCAAAGGCAAAGTACGGCTTCCAACCAAAGGGCCTTGATGGCAGCTGCCCCCTCCATGTGGGATAAAGAGCTTTGGGAACTGGGGGACAAACTCTTCCTGGGACAGTGAACAACTGCCAGGGCCTTGGGCCTGAGTTTTAAAGGCCTCAGATTTTAAAGATTCCAGCTGTCAGATCATGCATTCCAATTTTGGGTCACTATAAGGATGTACTTAATCTGGGAGTGTTAAAAAGGGTTTCCGAATTTCCAACTTTTTTGTTTTAATTATTGTTTTTCACTTTCAGGCTAACTCCTCTTCTACCAGCTCCAAAAAATCACAATTACCTCCAACCAACAAAACCTGTTGTTTCCCCAAAGTAAGTATTGTTTTGTTTTGTTTTCTATTTTTGAGATGGAGTCTCACTCTGTTGCCCAGGCTGGAGTGCAGTGGCGCAACCTCAGTGGCTCACTGCAACCTCCACTTCCCAGTCTCAAGAGATTCTCCTGCCTCAGTGTCTCGACTAGCTGGGACTACAGGTGTGCGAGTCACCACGCCCAGCTACTTTTTTGTATTTTAATAGAGACGGGGTTTCACCACGCTGCCTAGGGTGGTCTTGAACTCCTGAACTCAAGCGATCCACCCGCCTCAGCCTCCCAAAGTATTGGGATTACAGGCGTGAGCCACTGCTCCCAGCAGTTTGTTTGTTTGAGATGGAGTCTTGCTGTGTCACCCAGGCTGGACCACAGTGGTGCCATCTTGGCTCAATCCAACCTCTACCTCCCTGGTTCAAACGATTCTCCTGCCTTAGCCTCCTGAGTAGCTGGGATCACAGGCACCCATCACCATGCCCAGGTAATTTTTGTATTTGTGGTAACAATGGGGTTTCACTGTGTTGGCCAGGCTGGTCTTGAACTCCTGACCTTAAGTGATCAGCCCTCCTCGACCTTCAAATTGCTGGGATTATAGTCATGAGCCACTGCTCCTGGCCTTAAGTATTTGTATGTCCGTGAGGCAGAAATGGTTTAAGGCATGTGAATAAAATAATCTCCCTCCCACCTGGCCTGACTTGAACTAATTGATGCCAGGGATGTTAGAGAATTGCCAGAATCCACCTTGATTTCTCGCAAACCTCAGATCCTACATGTAGATTTTGGGGTCCTCTGCATCCACAGCTTCCAAAGTCATTGCATCATTTGATTCAAAGTCACTGTATCAGCTGCTCTCCACAGGGGTGCCCTCAATAGCTCTTTTCTGCCCTCGAGCCCAAAGCTTGATACGCCCTGTTGTCACAGAGCCTTGACCCTCCCATGCATTTAGGGTGGTGACCCACTCTTTAGCTGATTACTTTCCTGTGTCTAAGATTTTCTGTGGGTTGCATCTTGGTTTTAATCACAAATTAAAATTTTTACTCACATTTTACAAGCTTAGAAATGTATCTTAGTTTTAGGTCTTTGTATGAATCTTTGTATTCCATTAATTTTTGGAAAATATTTATTGAACACCTATTATTTATTAGGCACTGTTTCAGGTGCTGGGAAAACAGCCAGAAACACAATAAAGTCTCCACTCTCCTGGCACTTATCTTCTAGTGAGGGAGGGGAAGAGGACCATAAACTAGTTATTACATCTGAGGTTGGCAGGTGCTACATAGAAAAACAATGCAGGCAAAGTGGGAGGGGCTGTGAGGGTGGGGATACTTTTTGTAGGGAGGTCGGGCGAGTCCCTGTGTAAAGGGGACAGAAGGAGCCTTGATGATGCCTGGGGCAAGCACTCTTGGCAGAGGGACCAGCAAGTCCAAAGGTCCTGGGGTGGGAACTTGCTTGGCATGTCTGACCTCTTCCAGGAAGGCAGAGGCCAGTGTGGCATGAGCGGAGCAAGTGAGCAGGGAGTGGTGGGAGATGAGCTCAAAGCAGATAACGAGGTGATGGGTGTGGTGGGCAGGACAGTGACCCCCTCCCAAGGACGTCTACACCCTAACACCCAGAGACTGCAAATATGTTGTTACTTGCCAAAGAGGAATTAAGGCTGCAGATGGAATTAAGGTTGCTAATCAGCTGACCTTGAGTTGGAGAGATTATCCTGGATTATCCCAGACCCCATGTAATCACAAAGGTCCTTCTTTGTACGTGAAAGAGGAGGTCAGAGTGTCAGAGTCAGAGAAGGAGCTGTGACAACAGAAGCAGAGGTCAGAGCGATGCAATTGCTGCTGGCTTTGGAGATGGAGGGAAAGGTCACTGTGAACATATACACATATATGGTATTCATTTTTTATATAGTATATATAAAGATTTGAATGAAAAACAAGTTTAACTTCAACGTTTGTATCTTAATGGGATTCATTTCATTATCTGGCACGTTTGTTTATATAGAATGTTTCATTCTCCAATAAAGAGAGTTCCTTACAGTTCCCTGAACTGAGTGTGTGTGTGCCCGTGTGTGTGTGTAAGCGGGTGGCGAGGGGTGTCACCTGACTCACAGAGCCTTGACTCAGGGAGAATATGTAAGGGTCCCTCTAGCTGGTTTATGCTCCTCCGAAACAGAAGTTGCCCCAACATCATAGGACAACTCTTTTGCCTCCTTGGGCAGGACCTTTACATGAGCGCTCCCACTTTGGGGCCCTCAGGAGCCCGGCTTCAGTGAGTTCCCCAACTATCCTAGGGATCCCCTAAGAAGCTCAGGTCAGACAGCAGAAGTCAGATGGTGGCGGCCTCAGGGTTCAGCTCCTAAGCTTTGAACTTCTCTTTGCTGTCTGGTTGCTTTCTGAGCATGTCTTTCTCTTGCAGAAAGAAAATCCATGCAGCAAGGCAAGAAGAGAGCAATAAATCATTTTATGTGAGTAAAGGCAGGAAGAGGGCGGTGGGACTAAAATGTATTGAGCGCCTACCATGTGCAAGCGTGGGCCTTTTACATTTTTATACTTACCTTGTTGAATCTTCACAAAGATCCTGGGAGGAGGTGCTGTTATTATTGCATATTGTGCATGGCAGGTAAGTGGAAGAACCACGACTTGAACTCAGCTCAGCCAGATTCCAGAGTGGGCATTTAATTGCCACTCTCTCCTGCTTGCACAAGGCAAACAGAGTGTCCCAGGGAAACCGGACATGACAGCTAATCCAGGCCAGTGAACAGCTCATGCCCAGATGCAGGAAGCCCTCTGCTGACCTTGGGAAGTCACGAATGCTGGGGAGAGGCAGCCGGGACCCCTCAGGGGAGCAGGGGCGGGAGGGCACTAGAGAAGGTGATGGGAACCAAACTCTAAGGATCTTGGTGCCTACCCGGGAATGTGGGCCTGACCCTTCTGGTGTCTGGGAGCCTTTACTGGTCTGACACAGGCACAGGACCAAGTAAGAGTTACATTTCAGAAGAAGCAGTCTCTGGTGGGATATAATTGATACATTTTACTGTATTCTGTGTTTATCTAGTTTTTTTTTTTGTTTGTTTGTTTGTTTTTAAATACCATGCAGTCCTTTAATGGTTAGGGAAAAAATGTACAAGCAAAAATATAATTGCCCTCTAGGTGGAGAGGATGAACTGTTGGGGAGCAAGAGTGAAGGCAGAGAAGCCAGAGTCCAAGAGAAAGATGGTGGTGGCCTGGGGCTGTCAGGCAGGGGTGTGGAGAGAGGAGGGTGATTCAGAGAGACATGAAGGGGTGACAACAGCAGGGCTCAAGGGGCTGCAGCGTGTGCTGTGCAGCTCTCAGAGCCCCAGGGCTTGCCCTGGTCCAGGCCAGCGGAGGCCCTGCCCAGGTTTCTGACTTGGCATCTAATGGGAGAAGGAGGAGGAAATGACATTTTGTTTGCAACGATCCTAGTCATTTTCTCATATGTTGTTTTGTTTTTCCCTCACAAAAGTCATTTGAGAAGGAGTTATTAACCCCACTTTCTGATGAGAAAACTGAGGCACAGAGATGCTGGATGGCTATTGTCTGGTGGCAGAGCCAAGATTTACTCAGGCCTCTGTGATTCCAAAACCTGAGCAGTTGCCGCATGCCCACCTCCAGCCACAAGGGTGAACACAAGTGGGGGGGCAGGGGCATCAATGGCTTGGTGTGGCACAGAGCTTGAGAGGCCCCTAGGGACACCCAGGAGCCTACTAAGCGTCAGGTTTGAGTCTCAGAGATGTGAGGATGAGCTACAATGGGTGAAGGGCCCAGAAGGGCGTGGGCTCTGGAGTCCCAGGTCCCTGTTTTTAAGATGTGAGTGAGGCAATAGGAGAAGATTTGGAGAAATCTCAGCACTCCAAGTCTGCCATTTTATCCTACTTTCCCTTGATGCCTAGGAAGTGATCAACGTGTCACCTGGCTATCAACTTGTTCGGAATCGGGAACAGATTTCTGTCACCTTAGGGGATGAGATGTTTGATGGGAAAAAGCGGTGGGAATCGGAGATCCCGAACAAAGACAGATTTTCCAGGTAATGCTGTTGAACCAACATTCAGCTGCTTGGGGCTACTCCCACCAGCTCAGCCTGGCCTCAGGGATAAGCCAAAGCCACTATGCCCACACCCAGGCCACTGGTGCCTGCTCTGGAGGGGCCACAAGGGCACCCCCCTCCTCACCCCTGCTTCCTGATGATGCATCTCTCCACATCTGCCTCTCTTTCCTCTGATCCCATCCGTGAGCAGATCCAAGGGGCAGGATGAAGATTGATTGGGAGTTATGTGATTGATCCCAAAGGACAGCAATTGTTCCTGGGGTGAGGAATAGATAGAAGAGCCATAAATTAGTCTGAATTTGGGGCATGCAAATTAAGTAAAGTGAGGGTTTCTGGGAGGCTGGAATGCACATGGTTTTTTTTTGTTTTTTTTTTGTTTTTTTGAGACAGAGTCTCTCTCTGTCACCCAGGCTGGAGTTTAGTGGCACGATCTCGGCTCACTGCAACCTCTGCCTCCCAGGTTTAAGCAATTCTCATGCCTTAGCCTCTCGAGTAGCTAGGATTACAGGCTTGCACTACCACACCCAGCTAATTTTTATAGTTTTAGTAGAGATGGGATTTCACCATGTTAGCCAGGCTGGTCTCTAACTCCTGACCTCAGGTAGTAATCCTCTGGCCTCAGCCTCCCAAAGTGCTGGGATTATAGGCATGAGCCACCGTGCCCAGCCTCTTTTTCATTATGTCCAAAAATACTACTCAGCTCATGCCCCTGGGAGATGAAGTGTGGAAGGTTCCGGCCGGACTTCATCCCGTTAGCACAGCCATCCTGTCTGTCTTCAGGCCCCACCCACTCTCTGTCCTCCAATGCCATATCAAGTATATCTCCATGTCTTTCTTTTTTCATTAACAGATGCAGATTCATCTCTACATCTTTTCATTCTACCCTTTAATCTCTTATTCATATCTTCTGCTTCCCCGATATCCTGCCCATGTTCAGGCATCTTACTTCTTAACTGCACTACTGATGGCTCTCCAAGTGCCTCTTCCCTCAGACTTATTTTGCTGTAAGAATTATTTTTTCAACACACAAGTCTAAAAGACCAACAATAGAAAACACACACACACACACACACACACACACACACACAATCGTCTCCCTATCTGCTAGTGTATTGGCAGAATTCAACCAAACTGTTAGCAGTGGTTACATCTGGGAAGGGATTCAGATTGAGGGTGAGTCTGAAGGACCCTCAAGTCAAATGATGCCATGCCATGGAGTCTCTCTGATCTGACCTGGCCCAGAGGGGCTGGACCCAAGTTCTTGTCTTCCCACCCAGGGGCATTCAGCCTCTGCTTTCTTTTCCCTGCTTATCCATAGCCCTCTGCAGGAAGAGAATGGGGCATGCGCCTATAGTCAAGCTAGCACGACAGCCCACCTCTTGGCCTCACAAGGAAGTTGTCACCCGTTGTGCACAATAAAACATGAAAACGTGTGCTTGTTGTATTCACTGGTAAAGCTGTGAGTGTTGTTTATAGTGAGGATCGTGTTCAAAAGATAGGGGCTCCCTATTATTCAACTTTCTCATGCCTTTTCTTTCTCATACCCTGGAACTGTCTCCTCCTGTATCCCCTCTCTTGTTTTGTCAGCCCACATTCTCTCTGTGCTCAGTTAGACATGGGAGGTGGTTGACCAAAGAGGTCAAAGCATCTTGCATTGAGGACTTCCTCTCAGCTCCACTGCACATGGCACCACCTGCTGCCTTGTCACTGTAGCCCAACCAGACAGAGTTAAATAATTTACAGATATCATGGCAGCCTTAGACCCAGAAACACAGAAAACTATGACCTGTGCTGAAAGCCACTCTCTTAAATCCCCTCTTAGTCCCATCTCTGGCCCAGTCCTTGTATGTGGTTCACAGTCAGCATCAATCCTATTGCACATCTTCTAATTTCCTAATCCCCTGAACTTCATCCTTTGTTTCAACCATCATCACCAAATCAAGGTCAAACTCTAATAAATTTCTGACATATTCTTATTTTCCTTCTACTCAGTAGGGCACCAAACCATCCTGTTCAAGTCTAGTGAGCTTACCCAAAAGAGTCAGATCTGAGCCTCAACTGCCTTATTGCCAAATGCCTTCTCTAAGACTGTCCCTATCCCTCCACCCCCACCTCATAATGATGGAGCAGGTGCAGGACATGGCCAGCTCTCACCAGGCCAGAGTCAGTCATGCTCAGGGGTCTGAGTGGCATGGAATGGTAAGCTTTGTGGGTGATAGAAGAATTACTTCTCCTACAGGACCAACATCATTTCTGACCTACAAGAGCAAATTTCAGAGCTGACAGCAATAATTGAACAAATGAACAGAGACCACCAGTCTGCCCAGAAATTGGTGAGTGACTTTACATTAGCTAACATCTTCATGGGCAAGATAAAATTAATGTTTCACCTGAAAGTGAGCAAATCCTGCCTGCTAGAATGGAATTATACTGTCAACAAGGATTAACACTAGATTCTAAGTTCCTTGAAGGCAAGATCTGAGTCTTAGTCCTCTTTGGCTCTTCCAAGCCAAGCCCTTTGTTCAATAAATGATTGCTCAATTGAATTACATATCCAAAAATCTGAAGGCCATGATGTAACAGAGATGATGGTCTAGCACCGGAGACCAGACTTACCCAAAAAAACCAGTCAGTGAAAGAGATGCACCAACATTATGAACTGAATAAGTAGAAAACAACATAGAGCAAGGCACAAATTGTTCTGTTCCCTTATTAATAATGTGCTCTCTGGCACTGCAGAGCACAGTGGAAGAGGGGCGGGAAGGGGGCCGTGCCCCATGAATTGGAAGGTTTTTCAGAAGGTGCAGATCAGAATGGGACGGGGTCCTCAGTCTTGTGTTGCTGATGCTGATTTTATTTCCAGCTCTCCAATGAAATGGACCTCCGCTGTGCTGAGATGAAACAGAACTTTGAAAACAAGAACAGGTACACTTTCTGGCATGGACCCTTGTGTGCTGATGGCTCTAAGGCTCCTGCATCCTTTGCAGGATTTCACTGGGTCTTCAGATAGTTCCAAATGGAGTTTGGGGGATGAGGGGTGGGGGAGATGAACAAGACACATGTCTTTGAAGAGCAGGATGGCTTGATTCAAAGCCACGAAAATAAACCACAAAGAAAGTTATTACTGTTTTTGCATTTTATCATCCAATCCTTTCATTTCAATTATAATCTCCCTTTTTGTTGGTTACTGAGAAGAGTCATTTTTGTTCTCTATGAGATTTCTGTGATAAATAACTGTTGTTCTCAGCCAAGTCTCCTCCTCCACCATCTCCTCGTTCTTCTCTTCCTCCTCCTCTTTTTCTTTTTCTCACCTCTACTCTCCCTGGCTGCTAGGTCAGGGACTCAGCAAAATAGGAAGAAAGTATGAGAGAGTCAGGAGCAAAGTCAAATCAAGAGAAAATTAAAAGGAGTCCAAATATAGAGAGATAGAGAATAGAACATGGTTACCATAGTCGGGCAGGAGGAAGAAAATGGGGAGATATTAATCAAATGATACAATGTTGCAAATATGTAGGGTGAACAAGTCCAAAAATATAATGTAAAAAGATGAGAGCTATAGTTAATAATAATGTATGATATTAAGAATGTTGCTAAATGAGTTTATAGCTGTTCTCACCACAGGGGGAAAATGGTTAACTAAGTGAGCTGATGAATATGTTAATTTGTTCCACTATAGTAACCTTTAACTATATGTACATAGTAATCTCCATTATTGTAACCATTTGTGTATATATGTATACACACACACATACATATATATAAACTCTACATATATATATGCTTGTGTAGTGTGTGTGTATATATATATAGTAAAAATTATGTGTAGTATATAGATACAGTAAGATGGTTACTATAGTAGAGATGCATATATATATGACATATACAGATGAATCTTATGACATCATGTTGTATACCTTAAATATACACAATACGATTTACTTTTTAAAAGAGTTTTATTATGTGTATGGGTGAAGATAATCTTAACATCCCCTTTCAGGCTACTTGCTGCACACCAGAGCAGCCTTAGAAATCCTGGTGGAGAGATAGCACTCTTAGTTGAGTCATAGCCATTTATACATTTATTTATCTATAGACTTTACCTGTTAGAGTAGTTTTAGGTTTACAGGAAAAATGAGGAGAAAGTACAGAGAGTTCCTGTGCACCCGTTCCTAATCAAATTCAATCAAATTAAACTCAAAGATGAGTACACCAAGACACATAATAATCGAACTATCAAAAATCAAAGACAAAGCAAAAATTCTGAGAGCTTCAGAAGGTAAGAAACACATCACACACAAAAGAGTGCCATACAATTGTAATTTCTGAACAGAAACCCTGCAGGCCAGGAGTCAGTGTGATGATGTACTAAAGTGCTGAAGGAAAAAACTGCCTACCAAGCAAAGACAGCAAAGCTGTCTTCCCCAGTTGAGGAAGAAATAGAAACTTTCCCAAACAAAAATTAAGGGAGTTCATTACCGCTATGCCTGCCTTACAGAAATTGCAAAAGGAAGTTTTAAAAACTGAAACAGAAAGCTGCTGACTAATAACATGAAACATATGAAAGCACAACACTCAATAGTATAACCAAAATAGAGTCATACTCAGAATATTTTAGGACTGTGATGATGGGATGTAAGACAATTTTATCCCAACATGAGGGTAAAAATACAAAACTGTTAATAACTATAGCTAAAATAAATTTTCAAGGATATACATTATAAAATGATATCAATTCTGATATCAAAAACAACATGTTAGGGAGGAAGTAAAACTGTTGAGTCATTGTATGCAATTAAACTTGTTATCAGCTTGAAATAGCTTATTACAAGAGCAAGATATTCTAACTAAGTGTCGTGGTAACCACAAAGAAAAAAATCTTTAGCAGGATTCAAAGCATACACTACAAAAAATATCAAACCACAAAAGAAAAGAGCAAGAGAGGTAGAAAGAATCTACAAAACAACAAAACAAAAATTAACAAAATAGCAGTAGTAAGTCCTTACCTATTAATAATTACCTTGAATGTAAATGGATTAAATTCTCTGATTAAAAAAAATAGAATGGGTGAATGGAGTTTTTAAAAACAAGAACCAACTATATGCTGCCTACAAGAGACTCATGTCACCTGTAAGGCACATGAGCACCCCTCCCAGGGTCTGAGAGTAAGCCCACTAAACCTTCCGCTACCACCATTGCTGGCACCTACCTGCATGCACCACCTATGGGCCTGAGGACAGGACCACCCAACTTCTCATAGCCACTGCCAACACCAGTGAGTACCACTTGGGTCCCAGAGGGTTGTCTCACTATTGCTACTGCCATCAGCCACAACACACCCATTACCAATGGGTCTGTGAACCTACCTACCTGCCCAGCCCATAGCTGCCATTCCTGACACCTGAAAAAGCCACTAAAGGGCCAAGAATTGGCCTGCCTGAACCCACTAATACTTAATGCCAGCATATGCCACCCTGGGGCCCAAAGATAGGCACACTTATAAAACTAGAATAAAACTAGAAATCAATAACAATAAAAACTTTGGAAACTATACAAATGCATGGAAATTAAACAGCATTCTCCTGAATGACCAATAGAACAATGAAGAAATTAAGATGGAAATAAAAAAAATTTCTTGAAACAAAAAAAATTGAAATACAACATACCAAAGCCTGTGAGATACAGCAAAAGCAGTGCTAAGACAGAAGTTTATAGCAATAAACACCTACATCAAAAAAGTAGAAAGATTTCAAATAAATAGTCTAACGATGCACCTGAAGGAATTGAAAACCAAGCCCAAAATTAGTAGAAGAAAAGAAGTAGTAAGATCAGACCAGAACTAAATGAAATAGAAACTACAAAAACAATACAAAGGGTCAGCAAAAAAAAATAAGTTCTTTAAAAAGATGAATGAAATTGATAAACCACTAGCTAGACTAGCCAAAAAAAGACAAGAGAAGACCCAAATAAAATCAGAAATGAAAAAAGAGACATTACAGCTGATGCCACAGAAATAAAAGAAATCGTCAGAGACTATTATGAACAACTATAACACTAACAAACTAAAAAACTTAGCAAAAAGAGATAAATTCCTGAAAACCTAAAATCTACCAAGATGAAGCAGGAAGAAATTGAAAATTATTCAAGACCAATAATGAGTAGCAAGGTTGAATCAGTAATAAAAACTCTCCCAACAAAGAAAAGCCCAGGACTAGATGGATTCACTGACAAATTCTACCAAACACACAAAGGAGAACTAATAGCAATCCTCCTCAAACTATTCAAAAATAAATGAAGAGGAGGGAATTCTCCCTTACTTATTCTGTGAGGCCAGCATTACCTTAATACCAAAGTCAGATGACAATACAACAACAGCCAAAAGAAAACTACGGATCAATATCTCTGATGAACACAGATGCAAAAATCTTCAATGAAATACTAGCAAACCAAAACCAACAATATATCAAAAATATAATATACCATGACCAAGTGGTACTTATAACAGAAATGCAAGGATAGTTCAGCATATGAAAATCAATAAACATGATATCAACATCAACAGAATGAAGGACAAAAATTATGTGATCATCCCAATAGATGCAGAAAAAGCATTTCATAATAGTCAACATTGCTTCATGATTAAAAAAAAAAAAACCTTTCAACAAGCTAGACACAGAAGAAACATACCTCAACATAACAAAGGCTATATATGACAAATATGCAGCTATCATCATACTGAATAGGGAAAAGCTGAAAACTTTTCCTCTAAGAATTGGAACAAGATAAGGATGCCCACTTTTACCGCTCTTACTCAATATAGTACTGGAAGTCCTAGCCAGAGCAGTCCTGCAATAGAAAGAAAGAAAAGGCATCCAAATTGGAAAAGAGGAAACCAAATGATCTCTCTTTGCAGAAAAGCATGATCTTATATATGAAAATCACAAAAAACTCCATCAAAAAAACTCTTAGAACTAATAAACAAATTCAGTAAAGTTGCAGAATATAAAATCAACATACGAATATCAGTTGCATTTCTGTGCACCAACAATGGAATAGCCAAAAGAGAAATCAATCAGGCAATAACATTTACAGTGACTACAAAGCATAAAATAAAATATCTAGGAATAAATTTAACCAAAAAGGTGAAAGACCTTTAGAAGGAAGACTACAAAACACAGATATAAGAAACTGAAGATGACACAAACAAATGGAAAGATATTTCATCCGTGCTCATGGACTGGAAGAATTAATGTCACCAAAATGGCCATGCTGCCCAATGCAGTACAGACTCGATGCAATCCCTAAATCACCAATGTCACTTTTCACAGAAACAGAAAAAATAATTCTAAAGTTCATATGGAACAAAAAATGAGCCAGAATAGCCAAAGCAATCCCGTGGGGGAAAAAAAAATCTGGAGTTATCACATTACCTGACATCAAAATATATTACAAGACCAGGCATGGTGACTCACGCCTGTAATCCCAGCACTTTGGGAGGCCAAGGCGAGAGGATGGCTTGTGTCCAAGAGTTTCAGACTAACCTGCACAACATAGCAAGACACCATCTACACAAAAGATTAAAAATTAGCCAGTTGCTATGGAATGTGCCTGGAGTCCTAGCTACTTGGGAGGCTGAGGTGGGAGGATCACTTGAGCCCAGATGGTCAAGGCTGCAGTGAGCTATGATCATGCCACTGCACTCCAACTGTACTCATTGATATAGATCAAGGCTATCATAACTGAAATGGCATGGTATTAGTATAAAAATAGACACATAAACATAAAGCATGGAACAGAATAGAGAATCCAGAAATAAATTCATATAATTACAGCCAACTGATCTTTGACAATGCTGTCAAGAACATACACTGGGAACAGGGCACCCTCTTCAATAAATGATACTGGGAAAACTGAATAACCATATGCAG